ATATATACACACCGTAGCATCTGCAAAAGTAAGAGGACGGTCCACCAGTCCATACCAATATGCAGCCGCATACAGCTATTTATGTCTTTGGGTGGCTATAGGCAACACCTTGACTTCCCAGGCATGCACAAAAAGCCTGAAATTTCACATTATATGCTCCCATGTGCCCATGTGCATAAGCCATAAAGTCTACCAATTTAAAAAAGACCTGGTGAGCTAATAGACAAATTAACACTATTAAACAAAATACCTTTAGTTGACACATTAATCTTTCTGGATCATAATGTTGACAAACAAAAATTCCAGGGGATTACGAGTAAGAATATTTTGTATAATACAGCACTATTTAGAGCAAAGGAAAACTTCAGAATGTTCCACAGAAGTGAGAACATGCCTCCTGCCGGTCACCCTAAGGATTTCACAATAGCTGATGTCATAGAGTCACATGGCTGGACAAACTCCAAGGTTACTCATGATGTGCCTATCATGTATACGATGTAATGTACACAGCACAGGAGTGATGATGCCTCTGATTAGGAACTCTGACAGATCTGCACCCTGGCAGCTGCCTCCTAATTGGAGATGGATGTACATATTCGCAGCTTGTCACCCTGATGCTTCATTCCGGTTTTCCTTTAAACATACGTACAGCAGATCTAAAATCCTTTCCACAAAGATTTGTACAATTTCAAACATCCCGAGGAGTTTTCAGCCCGAGGGCTTCTCAACAACAGACGGCTTCTGATCCCAGTTCCTTGTTCTGAGTTGACCCCTCAACGAGCATGCTCTTGCAAAGAAAGATGCTGGTACCTATGATGGGCAGAGTGTCTCAGGATAAACTGCAGCCTCCCTGTTCAGATATACTAAATATCTTTGAACAAGCAACTTTATATATTTGTGACTTTTTTGCCGGGTGGTTTGTATATATCTGTAATTTCTCTTCTTGGGGGGGGGGGGGCTTTATTTGCTTGACGTTTAAAGGATATTATTGTGTGTTTTCTTTTCAATGTATATTTGATTTTTAACAGGTAAATGTATATTTGATTTTTACTATTTATAAAAAATGTTTCAGGCCAGGTTTACACCTGGGCGATCCATGACCGTGCGGCAATCGTGCACAATACCGCGAAGGTTACCGTGTGGTCACGGAGTCGCCCCCCACCGCTAATTATGCTGGCAGTGACAATATTTTCTAATGGCACGCCAGTCATGCCTAACACGATTGCGGCTTAAACAGCCGCACGACATGTGTGTCGCAAAGAAAGATACATGTACCTTTTTCTGCCATTGCCGCACGGATGTAACCCCATTGAAACCGCTGTGTGCAATTGTGCACGATCGCGCGGTCCCGGATCGCCCAGGTTTGCACCAGCCCTCACAGATGAACATTTAAATGGAAGGTGCATCCATGACACAGGATTCCCTGAGATTTATTCAAATAGAATGCTGCCGTCTCTCTTCTTCCAGTCACTGTCTCTGTTTGTTGCCGCTGTTTAAACAGAGCAGGCAGGAAAGGAAGAGATAATTGCAGAAACGTCACCAGCACACCAAATCCTTATAGGATCAAAGTTCGTCGATTTTATTGCAAACTCATGTCAGTTACACAAGCGCTTTCGGGGCCACACAGGGTTGTGTGACCCTATGCCTGATGAAGGGACCCTGTGTGGCCCCAAAAGCGCTTGTGTAACTGACATGAGTTTGCAATAAAATCGACGAACTTTGATCCTATAAGGATTTGGTGTGCTGGTGACGTTTCTGCATTTATCTGTATTTGGCGGCGACATCCGCAGTCATTCCGAGCACCCCTCCCCGATCACTGGGTCATACCGGTAAGGAGTGCAACTAGCCTTTTCTTTTTTCTAGGAAAGGAAGAGAGGCGGGAGGAAGAAAATTCTGATCAGTCACATGGGCGTGTAAATCGGAGTTTGAGCTATTGAGCATTGTAACATTAGGATATTTCAGCAGGGTAACCTGGAAAAGGTGAAAAGGATCCTTCTGTCCTGGAAAGCCTCTTGCACAGTAACAGTAGTAGTAATAATAATAAAAAAAAACAACATTTGCATCCAAGCCCCTTCTGCCTAAAGTAAAGTGGGAAACCAATAGGTGTTGGTGTCCCTGATGATTTTCAAGACATGGACTCTGGACTGGACAATATTATGCTTCATCTGACAAAGACTGGGCTAAACCAATGAGATGCAGACTGTACAAAATATTATGGTGTTTGAAAATGTCTCCATATTTTTCTGGAATAGGGTTCGACATTCCTTATGCAGTTCAGCAGGTTTTACACAGGAGACACAGCAATTCCATTGTCTATCACAATTTCAAATATACTTTGACCATGTTGTAAAATCAGTTCAACACATAACAGGCTGTTGGTTTATGATCATTTGTATACATGAAATGGAAAGATTGCTGTATGACTCTGTTGAATCTTTTTCTCCATAACCTTACTCCATGGAGGTTGCCTTTGCCATTACCTTAGGCTGTCCCATATGAAGGATAAGTCATTTATTCAAAGCTAAAGTTTAATTGGCGCAGAGTTTACTTTCCTGGTACCTCCCTCCCCCCTCATCAACAAGCTAATTAAATTTATTAAATGAAACCTTTGCATTTTCATTACATATTTTAGACCCAGTGACATTATCATTCGGGCTCTGTGCTTTTCTATGCAATGCAGGCAAATCATGGCTGGTGGGAAGGGCTGGCCGGGTGCTGTACATAGCATCCTGAAAACATCACAGCAACCTGCCTCAGCACCTCCCTTAAAGAGCCCTAAGCCCTGATACAAACAGTGAGCTGGCTCTTGGGAGGAATTATGCAAATATCAAAATGTCTTGAGAAGTGGATGTTCTTAGGTGGACTACATTTTAAAACAGACTGCCCTTGGTAACGCCCACATGTGATGCTGAGCCTCCATGATTGAAAGAACTGAGGCTTGATTGGTAGGTGTCAGTCTGGGGGAGTGGGTGTTACTAGACAGACTGCATTTGCCTGCAAACTGAGCTAGGTAACGCCCACATGTGATGCTGAGCCTCCATGACTGGAAGAACTGGATTCCAATGAATGAAAGGGGAAGGCAAGGAACAGTCAGCCTGGGGAGGAAGGGACTAGATGAAACTGGATGTCCTCCAGCCAGGAAACGAGGCGTGCTCTATCTGCAGCTTCTAATGCACATAATGAGAAGCTCACAGGGTGCAGTGAAATCAAAGAGTAAGCGATATCAGTCCAGGAGCGGAGCCGGTGCAATTGTGCAACTCCTGGAGTTCAGTGGTAATTAAAGTCTCAGCGGTGCCCCGCACACGCAATGCTCTCTGTGCATCCCAACTGCTCAGACTGAAACACAATGCATGCCCAATTTTCATTCATGCTTCGTAGGGTATCGGTTAGCTAAATCTGCACATGATGAGTGCTGTCAATCACCGAAGTTCTCTTTCAAAACCTGGAACATTATGATACTGCGTGATGTGCAGCAGAGTGAACCTCCCTCTGGTGAGCACTGACAGAATATCTCTATCTAGGTCATACGGGAGATTTTATCTAGCTCTTACTGCACCCAATGACACAATGCAGGAAAAAAAAACCAGTTACAATCAGCCTTATCGCAGCAGATACGTAGAACTAGGTCAATCACTGACTTTCTCTACACCGCGGATCGCTCTCTTGCTTAAAGGAGAACTATGAGGTGAGTGCTTTTCACTCACCTCATAGTTCTAGCCGACCTGTGACAATGAGACTGTCACAGGTCGGCTCAGTAGATCGGGAGCTGAGCGAACATATACCGGCGTTCGCTCACCTCTCGATCCTGTCACGGCTCTCTGCCGGGACATGGGAGGGGCTGGATTCCCCCCTCCCAGCTCTGATCCGCCAGAACTGACTGGCGGAACGGACAGCTGGTCGCGGTATACTGCGGCGTCTCAGTATACAGCTCGCTGTATACTGAGCCTAGGGTGACGGCAGGACGCTAGTTTGTGTCCTCCCGTTACCCTAAGGAGAACTATGGGGAAAAGACTTAACCCCATAGTTCTCCTTTAAGAAGTCATCGGCTAGTTACTCTGCTTTTCCAAGAGATCTTCCACTTGTAATAAAAGGCAGATTGCCCAGTGTAGGTCATTGGTGTAGCTGAAGTCAGGTGTTCTATCTATCTGAGCTAAAAGGTTTCTACTTATATCTCCTTTAAAGCAGACCTCTGTGAATCCAGCTGAATACACAATTGAAATATGGCGATTGCTTTACCTGGCAAATGATCTGTAACTCTGTATGGCCATTGTAGTGATCTAGCCAGACAATGCCACATCTTTCTGCAGACTACATTTTAACCCCTTAGTGACCAGTGATGTCCATAGTACGTCACTGGCATCGGGTCCGTTTAAACAGACTCCGCTGGGACTCTGTTTACACTTGTAAAGCTGAAAGTCCTCCCTGTACTATGGGACCGGGAGCGATGCGTATTGCATCACTTACGGTACCATAGCGGTCATTGCTGGGCTCACTGAAGCCCAGCAATAAGCTATTGAAGTGCGATCTGCTTATTTCAAGTGTAAAGGTGTCTTTTGGACCCCCAGCATCATCTTAAAGAGGACCTGTCCTCACCCTCTGCTATCACATGGGGGGGGGGGGG